CGGAAAACAAATACGTCTTGAGCTCAGCCAAGTCCTTGTACATTCTTCATCCCATGAAAACTTGGACTTCAAGGCTCGAAAGAAAGAGCAGCAACAATCTGATGACCGGCTTATGAATCTGTTAAGCACGGCTGCCATACTGGCAAGATGTTGCACGTCCTTTGCCGAGTTGGGCTGCTTCAATTCTTGTATGGCTTTGATTTGTGAGGGGTCCACTTCGATGCCTCGGTTGGTGACTAGGAAGCCCAGAAATTTCCCTGATCCCACGCCAAAGGCACATTTTGACGCATTCAGGCGAAGCTTGTGTTGTTTAAGAATGGCGAACATCTCGGCTAGGTCGGATAAGTGGTCGGCCTATTGCTTGCTTTTAACCACTATGTCGTCGATGTAAGCCTCCATCGTACGGCCTAGAAAAGGGGCGAACATCTTGGTCACCGTCCTCTAGAAAGTCACCCTGGCGTTTTTCAAACCAAAATGCATGACTCTATAGCAGAACAATCCCCTTGGGGTCGTGAAAGAGGTTATCTCGCGGTCGGGTGCATGCATGGCGATTTGATGATAACCGCGATAGGCGTCTAAGAAACTGAGCAGGTTGTGTCCGGCTATAAGATTGTCACGACCCAAACCTGCTCCTATAGGTTTAGCATCGTAACCGGCCAGTAATCCTGGGATTACCGAAGGCCTCTGGGACAAATTAACATAATATTAGGGGCTAACGGAAGCAAATAACAAATATACAACATCCATTCAGCTGTGCAGACTTATAAGATAGAAAAATTTTAAACTTTTTACATATATATATACACATCATCATTACGTCATTATATATATATATATATATATAAATTAGACAAAAAGGGACTTAGCCCTATTTACAAAATACACAAGACTTGGTTAACCAAACGAGAAAACAAAACTTAAACTTTAAATCACATAGCCATAGTCATTTGACATATCCGGAACCTCCACGGGAGGCACATAGGTTGGCTGACAAAAAAAGATTCCAGGCAAATATCTCTAAGCCTGGTCACGCGCCTGATCACTTACATACATAAATAATACAATGAGCTAGAGCCTAGTGAATAATAACAGAGTAAAGGGTTTTAATGAATGATGTCCATATCAAATTTAGAAATCATAATTCAGATTCATAAACAGATTCATATTCATATTCTTGTTCAAATCAAATATAGAAATCAGAGTTCATGCTTAATCATACGTGGTACATCCATTAGCGCTAACAGAATAGATACAAAACAAATGTAGAACATATGGTGGTTATGAATAACCAGTTCCATAAAGGAACCTCTGGATTCGGGTAATAGAGAATAAACATGCTGAGCTCCATAATGGAGCCTCCGGTACGGGTAACGGATGGTAGACATAATAAGTTCCATAATGGAACCTCCGATACTAGGTAACGGAGAATATACATGCTGAGCTCCATGATGGAGCCTCCGGTACAGGTAACAGATGACAGACATAATAAGTCCCATAATGGGACCTCCGATATCGAGTAACAGCTAACAGATATCACATGTTGCTAAGGATGCCACGAATACATGTCATAAATGGGACAATCATTCATTGTACAGAACATATCATTTCAGAAAACAGATATGAATTTATCATACAGAAAATAAATAAAGTTGAACATAACTTTACTAAGTTATTACTCACAGATAGTAGCAGAAGCAGATCAGACAGATCAAGCAGACAATAGCGCGTGACCTACATAAACACATAACATATACACATTGAAGCACAATATTACTCCTTTGATCAAACTTGACTTTCTTGTTTTCTGTCTAAATAATTTGAAGGCCCATTACGTTTATTCTTTCTTTAGTCAAATGAATCGAGTTCTAATTTCACAAATCCCTTTTATTACTAAATCATTCTTTTCTGAATAAACCAATTCCTCACTTAGCTTCTTAATCAAGTATCACTAAGTTAATGACTTATTCTTTAATCAACTAATTTATGTTGATTGGTAGCTTATTAATCTTTATTGAGTCATAAATCATGTCTAGAATGCTTTAGGAAGAGATGAGAATAAAAATATGAACTAAATGCAACTTTCCAAAATATGCTGAGAATAGTTGTTCGCTCGAGCGAGCCTTTAGTCGCTCGAGCGGTCTGTAGAAGACTATAAAAAGTACTGGAAGCCTTCAATTTGCGCTCGAGCGGTAATTAGTCTGCTCGAGCAGTCTGTAAAATTCCAGAATTTCGAACTTCTCAAAAATGGCTTCCAAATGCATTTTCAATTCTTTTTAAATCCATACATATCTTGATCAAAACCATGAAAATGCCTTAGAAAATATAAACACTTATTTATTCATAAATTATTTGCTCAAAATCTTGAAACATAAAATTAATTTATTTAAATCAAAACCTGACTTAATTTCAAAATCAAAACCCATGAACTCATAGTTTTCTAAACTTCGTTTTCAAAATCAAATGTACTATTAGAATATCAAAATTTGTAGAATTTGTTCATGCATGTAGGAACTAGACTCAAACTCATGTAAGATATTCAAAAGCAAATCCAAAATAATTAGCTTCCATAATCATGAACATGCATGTAACTCATTTTATGTTCAAAACCCAATTTCTTCCTAATTCCATGAATTTAATCCCAAATCCTTCTCAATCTCAAGAAATCTATGATGCATGTAAATTTACAATACCCATGATAAAGGTTCAAGCGCAAATTTTTAACATAATTTTCAAACACTTCTAAAATCCAATTAAACTTGTATATATACAATTCAACCTATCAATTTCATGATTCTACTTTTAATTTGGGCAAAATCATTAATTATCATTATGAATCAACTTAGGGTTTTCAAGAAAAATCAAGACTTCCAAAAAAAATTAAAACTTCTCACACCACTTTTTTTTATTCCAATTTTCCCATTGATTATACACCCAAGGTTCATAATCCATAATCTTATCCCAACAATTGAATCCTAACACTTCAAACCCTAAACCTTCAATTTCCATGATATAACACTATATGCTCAAAAATGTAGATTTTGCATTTATATAATCAAAATACCACAAATCTATTTATTAATGCAAGTATTGAAGAAGAACTAGGACCCCTGCCTCAAGAATCAAACAAGAGAGCAAAGCTTTGAGAAAAATCCTTTGAAAATTCGAATTCTAATCGGTTGAAAATGTTGAGCTTCAAGCCTTCTTCACTTTTTGGTAAGAGATCTTGGGCAATTCTTAGGGAAATGAAAGGTATTTGAGGTCAAAACCTAGGGTTTTCGGACCTAGGGTGAGAGGGAGGAAGAGAGGAGATGAAAATGTGAAGAATGATCTAGAAAAATGCCTTTAAACTTACTGAATTCGCGCAGTCCGCTCGAGTGTCGCTTTTCCGCTCGAGCGTTCCTGCTTCTAGCAGAGTTTCCAAAACTTCAAACGGGTATAACTGTCTCATCCAGACTCCGTTCTAGGTCATTCTTGTGTCCAAATTGAAGCCCTAGAAATAAAATTTCTAATGGATCTAGCCTCACACCCAAATTCAAAGTGTGGAAAAAGAAAAGGGCAAAAGAATGACGGCTGTTCATAGAAAAATTTATCCGAATTAAATTCTTGGTTCACTCCTACTTTACCATTATGTTACCACTTCGATTAATGTCCCAAAATAAAACAAAGAGGTTCCGAATATTAAATTGAACTTATTATCATCATCAATTTTTGGTTTCTTAAATCATTTAAGCCTTCAATTTCTGATCAGACTCAAAATTTCGTCATTAAATTACATATTCGAATTAGGCACCACATAAATGAATTTAATTCGTAATAATCTAAATTCCCAATCCTCTTAACTTAATTAACTCCAATTCAGACCCAATTAATCAAATCTCAATTTTATAAATCTGAATTGAATATTTAATTAAACTCTCATATGGTTTGATACTCAAAATTTAAATAATTCAATTCACTATTTGCACTTTCTTGAGCTATTTAGACTTTCAATTTCTAATTCTAAAATAAATCCTCAACACAATCACATACGAATCAGTTTCCATAATTTTCATAGATCTCAGATTAAATTAGAATAATTGACACTTAAAATCCAAATCTCCTTAATTAATTAAGTGTTAAACATTATACGTGATGGGGTCGTTACAAAGATCCACTAGCTAGTCTATTCTGGGCAGAAGAAAGCTGTCTTTAGGGCAAGCTCGGTTGATCGTCTCGTAATCAATGTAAACTGGCTACTTCCCATTCTTCATAGGTACTAGGACTGTGTTCGAAACCCATCGAGGGTAGTGCATTTCCTGGATTGCCCTAGCTTTTAGCAGGTTCTTGACTTCCTCCGTGACTACCTCGGTGTGATGAAGGGCTAATCTCCTCGTTCTTTGAATGACAAGATGAACATCTGGGAAGACATTGAGTTGGTGGCAAATAAAGCTTGGATCAATGCCAGGCATGTCGTATGGCGTCCATGCAATGACCTCGATATTCGCCACCAAGAACTCCACTATCTTGGTCCTTTCTTAGGCAGTCAGGCTAGATCCCAGCAAAAAAAACTTGTCAGGATTCTCTGTTTCGATCTGCACCTCCACCAACTCTTCAATAGCCTTTTCCTCGGCCCTAGTGCCTACATTATCCAAGACACTTTGGTCTTCTAGACCTTCGATCATTTGCACGAAGCCTTTGGATGCTCGACTTCCATTCACTGCCATGAAACACTGCTTCGCCATGACTTGATCTCCCCAAATCTCCTCAACTTCCCTCATAGCCGAGGGGAACCTCATAACTTGGTGGTAGGTCGATGCCACCGCCTGCATGGCGTGAAGCCATTCCCTACCAAGGATCAGATTGTATGTGGACGGCACCTTCAACACCCAAAACTCTACATGCTTGACCACGAATCCGGCTTTGACTGGTAGGATTATCTTTCCCATTGGCCACTCCGGTTGTGAGTTAAAACCAACCAGTAGCGAAGTTGCCGGAGCCAAGTCTGTATCTCAGAGTTTGAGTTACTTGAAGGCGTCGTAGTATATGATCTCGACCGAGCTGCCTTGGTCGATTAAGATGCGCTTAACATCGAAGTCCCTGACGCGAAGGGTGACCACCAGGGCATCATTGTGTGGCGTTTGAATGCGGTCAAGATCCCTACTTGAGAAGCTAATCACATTTTTCTCCTCGATCTTGCCTCTCTTGATCGCGGGCTGTACTGACAAAACTTCCCTTATATGTTCCGTTTTTTTTATCATCCCACTTAGCTCACATACTTGCGTCGACTCTACTATACCGTGGATCACATTAACCACTCCTTGGAGGGGTACCTCAAGGTCGTCCAAACCACTTGGCTCAACCAGTGCGTGGTGCGCGGCCCTGACGCCCCAATCGATGTAACGGTCCAAGTGACCAGCGGTGACTAACTCCTCCAAGTGTTGCTTCAGGGGCAAGCAGTCCTCTTTTCGGTGCCTTTGTTTCCTATGAAATGTGCAGTAGTACCGCAGATTGAAACCCTTTTGCGCATTGCCAAGCTTAGAGGGAAACTGGACGTCAACCTCGTCACGGATTTCGCTAAGTATACGGTAGATTGGGATCTTAAAAACTATAGTGATGCCCGTCCGAGTGTTCAACTTTCTGTTTGCATCTGCTGCATCATCACGGGGATAATCTGCTCAGTCATTGTAGCAACCTTTACCCCGATTTCTATGATTCGAACCATGGTCAAATTCTCTTGCGCAGTCACTTGGACGGTTTATCTCCTGTCCGACCGTGTGTACTTTTCTAGCCACCCTTTTGTCCATTGCCACCGGATTTGTCTTCGCGGTAGATGCAGTCGCATCGTCCTTTACTTGGATGTACTCGTTGATGCGCTGCATCAACAGCTCCATAGAAGTCGGTTGGTTTATCATGAGCGAGTCCCTTAGTCTATGTCCGACCGGGAGACCGCGCTTATATTGGGTGATTTCCAGGTTGGTCGGGCAATCAAGGATTTCGTTGAAGGTTTCTCAATATCTGGCGTTGTATACTTTGAGGGAGTTGCCTGACTCCATCTTAACACTTAGGAGGTGGTTAACTTCCTTTGGCGTTTTAGTGTTGGTTTTGAATCGAGTCACGAACGCTTCCGCCAACTATTGCCACCTTTCGATGCTTTCTTCCGGAAGCCTCTCAAACCACTTCAAGCCCAACTCGTCCAAACTCGATGGGAAACTAAGGCACATGAGAGCATCATTATGCCTGTATCTAACCATAACCTGCTAGAAGTGGCTCACGTGCATCTACAGATCGGTCTTTCTATTATAAAGTGTAAATTTGGGCTAGTGAAAGCCTGCTGGGAGCGATGTGGTCTCTATCTCAAGGGAGAAGGGGGTGGCGCACAGCCTTGCCAAATCTTTGTCCAAAGAGACATGCACGACTGAACGAGGCGGCGGCATTGCTACTTCTTCACTGGCGCGACCACCGTAGGATAGCCGTTGAAGCGCCGGCACCCTTTGAGTTTCCCGTCGGCGCGCTCGTTCCTTCAAGACGTCCCTCAAGTCCTCCGAATAAGCGGAGTAGGAATTCCTCGATGTTGTCGGTGGACGTGAGGGATGGTAACTACTATCTTGCGCGCAAGACTTCTTTGCAGGCGGGTCTGAGTCTCTAATCCTATAGTGTTTGGTGATAGAAAGAGAGGGCGTGTGCAACTGGTTTTGGCTTCCTGAGCGGCGAGGTTAGGTGCGCTCACTGTGGTCACCCACTCTAACAACACCTTTTCCTTTGACTAACCGTTTGAGAGCTTCCATCTCTGCCGCCATTCTCTGGATAACGGCGTCTTGGTTCCTCAACTTGTGCTCTAGGCGTTGAGCGTGCAACTCTCTTCGTCGCCAGTGTCCGTCTGGACTTCACAAGTGACCAATGCTCCTGGCACGCTTATCTCACGCATCTCTGGGAATGACCAATATATGTATATTGTTTTCCTACAATATAAGTATGAGTGTAAATATATAAACAAAAAAAACTATACAACAAAAATTATGGACATATATTAAATATTATAATTTTAAAATAAAATATCTATTAAAACAAAATTTAATTTAAAAAATGTAGCTGTATAATTTTATAATAAAAATTTCTACAAGTATAATATTTGGTTTTGTTACACTTTTTTTTATTAAACAGTAAAAAAAAAATGAAACTATGTGTGGTTGGAATTTGAGAGAGAGATAGTGTAGACGTCCCCGAACGTCCCGGGAGGGTGAGTCCCGTTCTGTTCATTTTGGGGTTACTACAGCTCGGACTCTCAAATCGTCACGGTTCTTAATCTGAACCAAAGAGTCCAAATCTGGCAAATCGTTTTGAGAAACAGATTTTTTGAAAAGAAGTGCCAAACATGGACTGCTTTGCCAGATACAGAGTCGCCACCTAAATATTTTTTATGGGGGAATTTAGGAAACCCTGACTCGGTGCCGAAGGCCACATGTCTGTCATCACCAGAGTTGCCTCGGCTCGGGAGCTAGGGTACGATTGGGGAAGGTCAGCTATGAGCACCCCCTCTCGCCCGATGCGAAGATCGACCTCTACTAACCGTGATATCCGTTTTTGAAAACGTTATGTGTTCTTATTCCATTTATTAGCCTAGAATTACTACGTTATGCGCACAGTAAACAAGTATAGACTAGATTGCCTAATTTGGAAACAAGCATTGCAAATCCGTTTGTTTTGGAAAAGTGTTTTGGAATTTGCTACTCGCAAGTAGGCTAAAATACGGATTTCAACGAGTTTTTCCAACTCAAACAATCCAACCTTCACCCACAGGCATTCAAACAGTTTATAACACATAAGCATCTAGCCACATGGTAAGCATGCTATCATGTTAACATTCACACGCATGCGAGATGCTAAAGCATAAATACTTACATCGTACTCCGTGCCAAAATAATAAACTAGTTAGCAAACATGCGTGATCCTAGTTCATGTTAAGTTGACTAATGCAACATATGCATGATGCAATTAGATAGGCTCGGCTAACCTAAGCATGACATGTGAAATGCAACCAATTGATGCACGTATTCAATTTGGAATTGAAATACAAATGCAGTTAGCGTGATGTACCGAGCCCGGTGCATGCGAAACGAATGTATGGATGCACGCATGCGTAGCATAAGGTATGCTAATCTAAACATGCCCTAATCTACCATCATAAGCAGGTAAATAAAAGGGAAGAAAGAAATGGGGGTTGGAAGGCATTCACACACTCACCCACACTTATTACAGATTCGCCCCCGCTCGGAGGGACCAAAAGAACAATACAGATAATTAATCTACAAGCTAATTAAATATTACAAATCGCCTAATTAGCTAACAAACTAACTAAGCTAGGAAAAACAGTAAACTGCCTCGGGAAGAGAGCCCAATGCAAAGTGTGCTCGGATCTTGCTCGAAAGTGCACCACCATGCATAGGCTGCCTCTGTTTTCCTTGATGTACTCCTCTGAAGGCTGCCAAAACCTTAGGATTGCTCCTCTGGATACTGGGGAATGCCATCGGCTGGGTAGAATGCCCATCGGCAGTGTAATATGATCACCGGCCATTGGTGAAGCTATCGGCAGAGAGAGGATTGCCGGTTAGCACTTATCACTGCCGGTCGGCAGAAAGCTCTTGCAGAATCTGCAATTGACAGCAACAGAGGGCAAGGCAGAGCATGGCAATACAATTCAAGCAATGTATGCACCAATCATGTCCCCTATTATGTTTGTGACTCAAAAGGGCATGTGTCTCGATTCTCGGACCGCCAATCACGCATTTCCATGCATGATGGCCCAAAGAATCAAGTGTGCAACTTTCATGTCAAATGAAATGCAAACCAAACAAACGAACCAAGGCCCAATTCCTATCACCAAGTCAAGGAACAAGGCATGCATGCAAGATGCAATGCAACCTAGGCATGCAAGATAAGGATGCAACATGGCATGGCAAGACACTTATGCAAGCATACAAACAAACATGAGGCAATGCAAACTGATGAAAACGTGGACTTAGACATGATTTAGGCAACTCTAAATAGGCCTAAAACAGTGGCCAAAAACCAAGGAATTGGGATCAAACATACATACACACATGCAAGTAAGTTGGACCAACACTTAGGCATTAAATAAGCAACTCTAAGGCACACTTGAAAAGGGATATCATGGACAATTAGCATGCAACATAAGCTCTGAAAATCATGTTAAAACATGGTGCCAAACCAAGCAACAAGGCAAGCTAAACATGCAACAATGGTCCAAGCATTCAAGGCTCACCAAAGAGGCAATGGACTACACTTAGTACAACCACACATGGCAGGACTTAGGCAACCAAAAACAGAGTTTTAGCACATGAAACTAAGCCCAAAAGACCAACTAGATAGCATCTAGATGGTTTGAATTTAAAGGCATGCATAAATGCTAAAACATGGAGCATGCAGGGCAAGCTTCCAAAGCTTCAAAGAGGCATCCAAGGCAAACATATGAGCATGTCAATGGGACTGAAATAACATGTAGGGTGGTTCCAAACCACCGAAATGATGCAAGCAACACATACTACACATTCACATACTTGAAGCATACAAGCTCAAATACAAAGGAGCTACACTAAGCATGCCAAGATCAACCCAAACAACTATGGACAGACCTAAAACATGGCAAAATGAGCACAAAACCTTCACAAGGCTAAACCTAAAACATGCTAGAGCAAAGACTAACAACCTAAGGCATATTAAGGCAATAACAAGGCATTACATGGTAGATATGCTAAGTATGCATGGTGTACCAAAACCAACACACAACAAGGTTATATCATGGCATAATAAGCATGGAAAACAGCCAAGACATGATCAATACACACTCTAACATGATGCTCCCTCAAGAGGCCAAAAAGGGTCCCTTTCAAGGACAACAAGGAGAGGGGGTGGCCCTCCCCTTTTGGAGACTTCAAGGTACTATCTCCGCCACTGAAATCCTTCAAGATTTCAGTGGTGAAGAGGCCCAAACACCAAAGTCTCGAAACTTGCACAAAAATAGCACAAAAAGGAGCCTTACAAGGCTTAGGAGGGGTCAAACAAACCCAAACCACAAAACACTCTTAATAAACAATCAAAAGGGCTAAAAAACAGAACTTTTTTGTATTATACAATAAGCACGAAAACAGCTCTAATAGGTAGAAAAGCAATGCAAAAATGGGGAATAAAAGGGAAGTTTCTCACCCTTGTAGATCACCTTCACAAATGATGCTCCAATAGCCCTCTTTGGCTTGAATCCAGCTCCAAAACACCAAAACCAGCCTCTTAGAACCTCAGTAGCTAAGAGAAGGTGAAACACTATGTGTTTGTGTACAATAATAAGACACAAACACAATTAAACACACACAAAGGTAAAAAGAGAGAGGTATAGAGATAGAATGTGTATGGATTCTAACCCTAGAACTCAAAACCCTAATATAGCTGTTTAAACTCTCCAAAGTGTCTCACCCTAAGTAAGGGAGAGAAGGGCTCCTCTTATAGAGCTTCTTGTCTTGTAAAGCTTACAAGACAAGCTTCTAAAGAGGGAGATCCCTCCATGCACGTGTATGGAGGGGAGCCAAATGCAAGACAACTGTGATAAAATATCTGCAAAAGCAAATGCACAGTAGGCGGCCGGCCAAAGATGCCATTTTGGCAAAAGTGAGTGCTGACCGGCAACAAAGAATGCCGACCGGCAATAAACATTGCCGATGGCAGCAAAACACCAGCTGGCCAGCCTCTTAGAACCTCAGTAGCTAAGAGAAGGTGAAACACTATGTGTTTGTGTACAATAATAAGACACAAACACAATTAAACACACACAAAGGTAAAAAGAGAGAGGTATAGAGATAGAATGTGTATGGATTCTAACCCTAGAACTCAAAACCCTAATATAGCTGTTTAAACTCTCCAAAGTGTCTCACCCTAAGTAAGGGAGAGAAGGGCTCCTCTTATAGAGCTTCTTGTCTTGTAAAAGAGGGAGATCCCTCCATACACGTGTATGGAGGAGAGCCAAATGCAAGACAACTGTGATAAAATATCTGCAAAAGCAGATGCACAGTAGTCGGCCGGCCAAAGATGCCATTTTGGCAAAAGTGAGTGCCGACCGACAACAAAGAATGCCGACTGGCAATAAACATTGCCGATGGCAGCAAAACACCAGCCGGTGGCCTCTGGCCATGGCCGGTGATGTATGGGGATGCCTCACAAGGCATTCCCTGCCCCTCCAAGGCAAAACACAAGTGTTTGGTGCAAAACCAGACACTAAACAGTCGAGTTCAGAGATCCTGAGGCAAAGCGCGTAGCCGAGACCTCCGGAAACTCCAAACGAACACAAACATGGATGATCACCGAGTGTTCAAACGGTGACGTCCAAGTCTTGAGGACGGTCAGAAATGGGGTGTCTACAGATGGTGTCACGATTCGCTCCCTATACCCAAGGGTTAAGTATCGTGATGGCCAGTAACTGAGGTTATCTACGACCAATTCTTAAACAAATCAATAAATGCGAGCGGAAGTAATATTTAAATAAGGGTACCAAAATAATCATTGGAGCTTCTATTTTTATTACAAAATTTATTGATCCAAAAAGGTTGATATTTACATATATAAAAATAACATAAAAATGCTATGTGTGTCTATTCCGCAGCCCCGATCTAAGACTTTCCAAAAGCTATTTCTGAAGTGCGTTGTTTCCTGAAAATTGGTAAACAACTATAATCACATGGCAGAATGAGAAATATTATACCAAGAGTAGAAGGGACACGAAATAACCATAGAT